CGTATTCGTGCCGTAGTTCTCTGCGTGGTGTCTCGAGCTGCTATGGCGCTGTCGTTTTTTACGCGTCCCCGAACGAGGGCAATGGTGGGATATGGAACTACACATTGCGCGCAGACGGAGCTTTGGGGAGCAAGATCGACGTGACATCGGATAAAGGCGACGCTCAGGTATACACGCTACCATTACAACGAGCTGTCGACGCCGCCATTGGGAGCTTGAATGGCGGCTCGTCATTCCCCGAGACTACGGACGAGTACCCTTACACGCCTGACACGCCCGAGGAACGCGCGGCGACCGTCCGGCGGCTGTACCAGTCCTCATTGACCAACTTTTTGGCTGTGTCTTTCATCCTCGTCGTGATCGGTGTTTGCTACCATATGACAGGGCATATGGCGACGGAACGAGAGATTGGTATGGCGCAGCTACTCGACGCAATGATGCCCACCAAGTACCTATGGCAAGCACAGGTTGCTCGTCTGCTATCGTACCATATCGCCTTCACCATGGTCTATATTCCCGGCTGGGTCATAGGTTCCTTGATCGTAGCACGTGGGGTTTGGGCCAACACGAGTGTAGCCATAGTGCTCATCTACTTCGTCTTAGCTGGTCTGGCGCTCACGTCACTGTCAATTCTTGGTGCAGCTTTCTTCAAGAGATCTCAGTTGTCGGGTGTTGTGAGCACTATCGCGTACCTGCTGCTCGGAATTCTAGCTCAGACTTTGACTTCGCCAAACACTCCTACAGTGGCTGTGCTCAGTCTTCTTTTCACTCCTTGCAATTTTGTCTGGTTCTTGACATTCATCGCTCGGTGGGAACGTCACTCGGATCCCGCCGATTTGTTACACGTTCCACCTGAGAACCCATGGAATCTACCAGGCATCGTCTTTTGGATTTTCTTAGTAATCCAGATCTTTGCCTACCCCATTCTCGGCGCCTACCTTGAGCGAGTATTTCATGGAACGACTACGAAGGGTCGCACGATTTTGCAGGGACAGGCTGCAGAGACAGCCCCTGAGAATGCGGTACACCTCGAGCGCTTTACAAAGATATATAGCCCAAGCTATCTGCGCCGACTGTTTTCCTTCATATCTAAACCCAGAGACCCTGTGGTCGCCGTCGACAAGTTGACCTTGAATGCCGGCAGAGGACAGATTTTGGCTCTGCTGGGCGCCAATGGTAGTGGGAAGAGTACGACGCTTGACTCGATCGCTGGTATCAGCAAATTGACCAGCGGAGACATCACGATAGACGGCACTGGAGGATTGGGAATTGCGCCGCAGAAAAATGTGCTTTGGGATGAGCTGACCGTTGAGGAACACATTCGAATATTTAATCGACTGAAATCTCCCAAGAACAAAGCCTCGAGGGAAGAGATACGGCAACTCATCACGTCAGTTGACCTCGAACCGAAACTCAAGGCCAAATCGAAAACATTATCTGGCGGGCAAAAGCGCAAGCTTCAGTTGGGTATGATGCTGACAGGTGGGAGTGCCGTGTGTTGTGTCGACGAAGTCTCCTCTGGTATAGACCCGTTATCACGCCGCAAGATTTGGGACATCTTACTTGCAGAGCGTGGAAAGCGTACAATCATTATGACTACGCATTTCCTCGACGAGGCCGACCTACTGGCAGACCACATCGCTATTCTTTCTAAAGGCACACTGCGGGCGCAAGGGTCTTCCGTCGAACTAAAAGACAGACTGGGTGCTGGGTACAGAATCCATGTCTTCAATGCAAGGGAGATCAAAGATTCTCCCATGATCGAGGGCGTTCAGCGAAAGGTCGGATTTGATGTCGTCAGCTATCTTGCGCCATCTTCTTCACTCGCTGCTCAAGTTATCAAAGCCTTGGAAAACGCCGGAATCCAAGACTACAAGTTTTCCAGTCCCACGATCGAAGACGTGTTCCTCCAGGTAGCTGAAGAAGTTCATGGCGAAGATGGCGTTACGCCAAACTCCAAGCTTGATGGTGAAAAGCAAGTAAGCTCGGAGGAAATCGTTGCGGTCACCGAGTCCGATAAGGACGGCCTTGGACTGCTTTCTGGGCAGCCGATCGGGTTTTTCAAACAAACTGGAATACTCATGCGCAAACGCCTTACGGTCTTCAAGACTAATTGGTTTCCATACGTTGCCGCCTTCTTAATTCCGATCGTGGCCGCGGCCTTGACTTCGCTGTATGTCACCAACCAACAGCCGCCGGGCTGCAGCCCGTCGTCCGAGAATTCTGGAGGTTCTTCGTCTTCGGAGTTCAACAAACTTTACAGCGATACGTTCTTAGCTGTCGGCCCCTCTTCACAGTTCGATGAAGCTACGGTCTCGAGCTTGTTTGGACCCGTCTTGCAAGGCATGGGATCTGGAACCGACTCATCTGGGAGCACCTCTGCGGCCGGTGGCGCCTCAAATATAATGACTTCGTTCTTTGAGAGCTTACACTTCGTTGACTCTTTGAGCGCCTTCAACGACTTTATCGTGCAAAATCGAAAGAATGTCACACCAGCAGGATGGTGGCTAGGCGACGCGAACTCTGCACCTACCATTGCCTATCAGGCAGACTTGGCCAGCATCTATACTTCCATCTTTGGCCAGAATGCCCTGGACATCATGCTGACGAATACGAGCATAGCAACCAACTTCGTCCAGTTCGATACCCCGTGGGCGCCTTCTACAGGAAACTCGTTACAGCTGATGATCTACTTGGCATTGTGTTTCGCAGCCTACCCTGCCTTCTTCGGTCTCTATCCTAACATTGAGAGACGGCGAAATGTTCGAGGCCTTCAGTATTCTAATGGCGTTCGCAGTCTTCCCCTTTGGGTCGCTTACACCACCTTCGATTTTGTGATCGTTCTCGTCTCATCGGCATTGGCCACTGCGATCTTCGCGGCGTCCTCAGACGTGTGGTATCATGTTGGATATCTCTTTGTGATATTCATGCTATACGGTTTGGCATCAATTCTATTGTCATACGTCATATCACTCTTCTGCAACAATCAGCTGTCGACGTATGCCTTTTCGGCAGCTGGTCAAGCTGTAGGATTCCTCATCTATTTCATCGCCTACATTACGACTCTCACCTACGCACCTGTAACGACTATTGACTCCTCGCTACTGGTTGTTCATTTTGTGGTCTCGGCTTTCGTACCAATCGGGTCAATTTTCCGGGCCTTATTTGTTGCCCTCAATCTGTTCAACACCACTTGCGACGGCGACCAAATCCGGAGTAATCCCTCGGACATTCTTGCCTACGGAGGCCCCATCCTCTATCTCGTCATCCAGTGCCTCATCCTATTCGCTGTTCTGCTTTGGCATGATAGCGGTGCTGGTAGGACGATACTGAACCGCCTTACGCAGAAGGCCATCAAACCAAGTAATGCTCCCAGCATATCTGACGAGGAGGTTGCGAACGAGCTCGACCGCGTGAATAGCACCCCGCAAGAGAGCGATGGTCTGCGCGTGTTACATCTTACCAAGACTTTTGGCAAGAACACCGCTGTCGACAATGTTACGTTTGGCGTACAGCACGGTGAAGTTTTCGCTCTACTGGGGCCGAACGGCGCTGGCAAGTCTACGACTATCTCGTTAATCCGTGGCGATATACAGCCGAGCTTGAACGGTGGTGACGTCTTGGTTGAGAACACATCCGTGAGCAGGCGTCGTGCGGCAGCTCGGGCGCATCTTGGTGTCTGCCCTCAATTCGACGCCATCGACTCGATGACCGTCCTCGAGCACCTGTGCTTCTATGCCCGCATCCGCGGCATCCCCGACATCGATCACAACGTGCGTGCCGTCCTCCGCGCCGTCGGTCTCGAGGCCTTTTCCACGCGTATGGCATCCGCCCTCTCTGGCGGCAACAAGCGCAAGCTGTCCCTCGGCATCGCGCTCATGGGCAACCCCAGCGTCGTCCTGCTCGACGAGCCGTCATCGGGCCTCGACGCCGCGGCGAAGCGCATCATGTGGCGGACGCTGGGCGCGATCGTGCCGGGGCGGTCGATCCTGCTCACGACGCACAGCATGGAAGAGGCGGATGCGCTGGCGAGCCGCGCGGGGATCTTGGCGAAGAGGATGTTGGCCATGGGGACAATTGAGAACCTGCGGCAGCGGTTCGGCGACGCGATCCACGTGCATCTTGTCAGCAGGAGCGCGCCGCATTCGACGGACGAGGAGATGGAGGGAATGCGATCATGGGTGTTGGAGAGGTTCCCTGGTGCGGATGTCGAGGCCAAAACATATCATGGGCAGATGAGGTTTTCGATCCCCGGGAGTGCAGTCACCGGCGAGGGTGAGCGGAGTGCGAGCAGCGCGGTCGGGCAGCTAATCGTCCTGCTGGAGGAGCAGAGGGAGAGGTTGGGTATCGAGCACTTTAGCTGTACACCTACTACCCTAGACCAGGTCTTCTTGACGATTGTGGGACGGCATAATGTCCAGGAGGAGGGGTATGGGGGCAAGAAGAAGAAGAGTTGGTGGAAGAGGTCATGAGGGTTGCTGTGAACTGATATGATGGACCAGAGAATCGCTTAAGTTGCGGTCCCGGGCATGTATATTTTAACACATAGATTGGTCCTTTGGAGGATATCTGGACATGGTAGAGGTTGCATGACATACGGGGCGTTGGGGATTCTGGATATCAAGGCTATATGCATGTACGCACGGGATACGTGTCAAATGCCTGGAAGACATAGGCTACATACAAAGCTTACTTACTATCATTATTTCATCGCGCTTCAGTCAAGTATGCAACATGGCCATATAGCATCACGAACTTATAGGTCGCCATTGAGCTTGCGTACGAGCTATCACACCAAGTATAATATAATACTACTACTACTGAACTGAGGCTATATGCACACTCTCTGTTATCGACTACCGGTATCGCCTGATACATCATTCCCATTTAGAACCTTAAAGGGGTTCTAATACCGGAGGTGCATATGTATGATGATGAATAAAATAAACAAATAAAAAAAAGGATCTGTTTAATGCAGTAGAGAACGCAAAACAGAAAGCGGGCTCGATCGGGATTCGAACCCGAGGCCTCTCGCAATTTAGGACGTTAGAACCCAAAGCGAGAATCATACCACTAGACCATCGAGCCTTGACAAGGTGTGAAGGTGGAGCCACTTTCTTGCTGGTTGGTTGAAAATTGGCGCCCTAATCATCGCCTATATCGCTATCATGAGCGATGACCCACCCGGAACCTACATTCTGGCCAGGCAAGGGAACTTGTGACATATGCTAGCTGCGAACCCGCTATGGCACGCATCAGTCAAGATATCCTTAACTAAGATTCATAGGTCACCTAGGGCGACTTGACATTAGGTCTTCTAACCATCTAACGGCCGTTTCATCACCGTGCCCAGCCAACTCACCGAACCCGGCATTTTCACCCGCATCATAGACCTGGACTCTCCTGTCGGCCTCTTCATTGTATCCTACAAAGTCTGAATCCCATTTCAGTCGCTCCTTCAGCTCGACCTTATTTATACTCCGCCGCATTAATGACGCGAGCTCTTCGGCCTGTGTCCTGAAATTATTTCGTATTGGGTCCTTCTTTCGCCGCTGCTGTCTCCGCTGAAACGACGGGGCTAGAGGAGGAGGCCGGGGCGCACTGTTGTGTAGAAGCAGTATCTCGGGGATCTTTAATGTCGATTTCTTGGGCGGAAAGCCAAGTGGACTCTTTCTTTGCGCTTTAAATGTCGAGACTGGCTCGATAATTTCGTCTGGGTTGAACGGTGAAACTGACGCCAGGGGAGAAGGAGTCGGGATGGCGGATGCATCAAAAGCCGGAGGTACTAGCAGGCCCGGGGTATGGAAGAAAAGACAAGGGCTTGCAAACGGGTCGAACAAGTCTTCGGGCGTCCTGAATAGCTCGCTCATTTCCAATCTCAGCTCTTCAAAATCATGGTCACCGGGATGCTCGAGGATCTCCTCCAAGAAGTCCACCGCAGACCGCGTCTTCGGTGGCTTGTTCATGGGGTGATCGGGTAAGAACATGGTCCAGTTGTAGATGCCATTGTACGCAATACACCCGCGAAGACCCATGCGTTCGTGAGGATGCGTCTCGGTCAGAGCCAGCGAGGTGGCCAAAGAGGCGCCCAAGTAAGAGCCATACACGTACATGTCCCGACGGCTGTAGGTCGCCGGGCTGAGGTTCTCGGTGATCCAACTGTACGCTCTCAGGGTGTCATGTATGGGCGCGGGCCAACCCGGGTGGAAACGAGCATTCAACGCATCACTCTCGCCTTCGCCAGGGGAAGAGAGGTCTTTACCATGAGGGGAGTCAGTCATCCAGCGATAGTGTATGACAGCAGTCGGATGGCTTTGGAACAATTTTGGCAGCTGGATCGAGCTGCCCGGATCGGTGGTCGAGAACGGTGGCAGGTACAGCAGCAGGGGATCTGATGAAGATACCTTGGCGATATTGTGCAGACTGGATCATGGTCAGGGTAGCTTCATTGGAAGATGAGGGCTATGAGTACTCAATAAAGACATTGCCAGAGGAGCCGCATGGGACGCTAACTCGTTCAATGCCATGATGAAAACCAGGGGCTACAGTGCTGAGGCATCTCGGCCTCGCCAATCTCGAGATGCTAGGTGAGAGCCATCTTCTCATCATCCCCTCGAGCTCACTTAGTCGTCTCACAGATCAAACAGACCTTGGTCTACAATACGGAATTGACTCTCGTGTTGATGGACGCGTGAGGGTGGCTTTTCATAAGAGGTCGGGATATTTGACGCGTAGAGCGACAGAAACGGAAGTGGACGTTGGAAAACTTGGCAGACTAATGAGAACAGCAACCGCTAATGTGCAAGATTGGCGTGCTTAGCGTCATGTATGTACAAAGGACTGGGCGACGTTAGTGCAGCTGTAGTGCTGCGGAGTGCCTAAACGGCGGTCACATTCCAGTGTGCTAATCGCCATAAATCCCACCTAGACCCAGGGGCAGGGGACCTGGACGGGACCTGGACTCTCTCTGGAGCGAACCACAACCACAACCCCAGTCCAGTCACGCCCACCCGCTTCGGGGTTGCTACCTAAGGTTGCCTGCAGTGTTGTTATCATGCCAACGGCGATCATCTGTGCCAAGCGACGTCATTCTAGCCGCCTGACCTCCTCCGGCACCTTCCATTCGGCGTACACCATTCAGGATTTCCAGTTGACCTTGACCTTCCAAGACACGTTACTGACCTCGGGTTCAGCTTCAGCCATTGTGTTTCCCCTTTGAAGCCTACATCTACCTAACCTAATACACACTTACCGCTGGTCAATATGCAGGCAAGCAGACGATCCCTCTTGCAATAATATCTAACCTCAACCCAATCAACATCGACTTCTTCTACCTCCACCTATCTACACCTAGACTCTATAGATTCCGACTATATCACCTACGTTTTTCCTTGCATTACCGTAGGTAGACTGCGTTCCTCGAAGAAGACGTTGAATCGACCGTTTAACAGGTCACGATTCTGACCTCTTCACTTTTGCCCTACAGGCATGCATACCTAAAGCTGTCCAATTATAATCCTCAACTTGGCAAGTAAATATGAACGATGCCGACCTCGGTGAGAACATTGGCCAGCAGTCGCGAGGTGTGGACGGGGCCGACCATCACACAAGAGGCGGTACAGTGATTCAGAATGATGAGGTTCATCTAGATCCGACGTGAGTACATTCGGGACCTTTCTCTATCACCTCGAACACCCACGCTGACTTGGTCCGCTGACACAGGCGCTGGTGGTTCGCATCCGCTGCTTTCCCCATGATCGCTGGCACGCTTGGTCCCGTCGCCTCAGCCTTCAGTATATGTGCCTTGGTCAAGAATTGGCGGCAGGAAATCCTGCCTGGATCAGACGTCACAAAAGCTGTCTTCATCCCCGATCCGCCATGGCTGTATGCTGTCAACGGCATACAGCTCTTCATCGCCATTCTTGCCAATATCTTCCTCTTACTCAACATGGCCAAGAGGGTGCGTTTCATCGTCGCACAGCCAGTCACAATTGTGGGATGGTATATCTCATCCATCTGTCTCATCGCCTTGTGCGCAACGGCTGGCGGACCGCTGATACTCAAGCCTGAGATAAACTACGTGTGGTCACAGGCCTTCTGGTACGGCCTTTTCGCTGCTGTGTTATACTTTATTGTGGCATCTCTGATGGTGGTGACCGTATGGGGTGCCGAAGCCGGACATTACGACAAGGACTTCGAGTTGACTATGAGTCAACGGACTCTGATGCTTCAGACCATCCTCTTCCTCATGTACCTTCTTATCGGGGCTTTGGTCTTCTCCCATATTGAGGGTTGGAGCTATCTCGATGCCGTCTACTGGGCTGATGTCACTCTCTTCACGGTTGGATTCGGTGACTTCTCTCCCCAAACTACTCTAGGCAGGGGACTCCTGATGCCGTACGCACTCATCGGTGTGACAAGTTTCGGTTTGGTCATTGGCTCCATCCGAAGTCTTGTTCTAGACAGGGGCAAGCGCAGGCTGGATGCCAGGATGATGGAGAAAAAGCGACGTCAGTTGATCCAACGCCTGACGAAGAAGGGTAAGGGAGAGTTGTTGGTCCCTATCCGTGATGGTGAAGAGTTAGACTCGTTTCCGGAATCTAAAGGTGCTGAGGGCCCACAGACAGAGTTTGAGCGTCGTCAACGGGAATTTCAACTTATGCGTAAGATCCAAGATCAAACATCCATGAGAAGACGATGGACCGCAATGGCGGTCTCTACCACAACTTGGCTTGTGCTGTGGCTTGTAGGCAGCAAGATCTTCCAGGTCTCAGAAGCACCGTACCAGGGGTGGACATACTTCAACGGCATCTATTTCTCATTCACCGCATTGACGACCATTGGTTATGGGGACCTTACTCCGGTTTCCAATGCCAGTAAAGCGTTCTTCGTCTTCTGGTCGCTTCTGGCTCTGCCAACTTTAACTGTCTTCATCTCCAATGCTGGAGACACAGTTGTCAAGGGTATCAGGGATGGTACACTCAAACTTGGGAACATTACAATCTTGCCCGGAGAGGGCAGTTTCAGGTCTGAGATGAAGCAGCTACTTTCTAGGCTGTCTTGTGGCATCTTATTCGACGATGATGATGAGGTCGAAGAGTCTCCACCAGGCTTTCTAGGGGCAGCTCAGAACCGTCGCGACGAGGAAGACGAGTCTGAAGAACGAGATCAGACATTCAAGAACGCAAATGATCCTGAGAAAGGCCATTCGGATTCCTCAACACCAACCAAGAAGTCCGAAACGGAGCACCGAGGTCGCAAATCGCCAAATGATAGAGAACAAACTCACCCATCGAAACGGGCTAGGTCCCAAGCAAGAGAGAACCTCCCGATCCATCTGCCCAAGTCCCGCGCCAAATATCACTTGATGCTTATCGACGAGATCAGACGTGTTACCAGACATCTGCAGCACTCGCCGCCGAGGAAATACACCTTTAAGGAATGGTAAGTGTCTCATCTATACATGATCCTACCACGAAAGATTTTCCACTGACTCCTTCACAGGGCATGGTATCTCCGTCTCATAGGCGAGGACGAGAATAACTCCGCCACGCACCGTAAACCGGCCAAGAACCCCCGTGCCAAAGAGGCCTATACGGACTTCCCGGGACAGCACGGCCAGGGCGGTCAAACACAGAACCCCGCTTCCGGCACAAAAAAGATCGAGGAGAAACCGCCGCCAGACTCAGGAGTGCACGACGAAGGCACTGCAGACTCCGAGGCCGCTCCCCGCCTCAAGTGGTCATGGGTCGGCCACCGCTCCCCGCTCATGGACACGCAGGAGGAGGCCCAATGGATCCTTGACAAGTTGGAAGAGAGGCTGAACCAGGAGCTACTAGAAGCCGTGGAAAAGCAGGATGGTAAGGCCGGGGTTCAGGAGGTGAAGAGGGAAGAGCGGGAGAACGAGACGAAGGGGCTCGGGCCTACACCACTGGAATAGGATGCTTGGGGGGTTGTAGGCTCGGGCGAGTACTGGCTCTAGCTTTTACCTTCTACCTTTTGCGGTAGGATAGGAAACACTTCAGCAGGTCATAGGAGTTAGTGAGAGTTGTCAGGCGTCAGTTGGATACCCGCACCACTCGGTGCTA